AAAAAATTAAATATATGATAATTCATGTGTGGACAAGGAATAACATTTGTTCTTTTTATTACCTTTAATTAGAAGCAGCTCTTCTCTGTTGCAGTGAATCAAGTGGGAATTTATCCAGGCATGCTGCAGACTTTTTAAAGCTAGGGCATAGTAAAAGAGTTGGAGCCAATGTGTTCACATTTCTATTACTATTTTCTTAATTTATTTTTGCCAACTTACTCCTTCAAAGCCTGATCTTGGAAGCAGTGTGCTGCAAGCACACAAAGCAGCACTTAACCCTGGCAGTGGCTCCCAAGCCCCTCCCACCCAGTGGGACCATTCCTGTCCCTCCAGCAGCAGGTAATGACAGATTTACAGCTCCCTCCCGATCTCACCATCCCCTCCAGTGGGGACAGCCCAGTGCAGAAGTTCCCAGTGCAGAAGGTATTGGTGCAGCTGAGCTAGACAAGGGTGGCACTGCCCCAGGCAGCAGCAATCAGAAATTCATCCCTTCAAGTCAGAGGGACTAGGCAGTATCTAGACCTGCAAGGTCCCAGTTGCTCCCTGGAGACTTGCCAGTTTGGGTCTCTCTGCACGCACTCTCCTGGGACAGGCTCACTGAAACCAAGTGCCAGAAGATCAGAAGCTTGTGCCCCTTCTGGATCTTGCTCTCCTCACTGGGAGCAGAGCATTCCTTTGAAAAGGAGGCAACCCCCTCACCCAAGCAGAGAAACGCATGAATACGCACCTCAACTTTTTTAAAGCACAAAAAATACCTGGAGGCAAATCAGAGCCTAAAATTTAGCAAAAATGCACTGTCAAGGGAAGAGGGTGCTCCTAAATCCATCTCCCACTTTCTGCAGCAGGCAGTTGTGTTGTCCCAGGGCACCTCTCTGACTGTGGATGAACTTGGGCCAACCACACTTCACACCAAAGGCAGCAAGAGAAATAAGCTCAGTGTTATAAAGGGTGCAAGGGACATCAAAACAAGAAAAAAAAAAATAATCAGATGAAAATAACTTCACTATGCCTCATGGCAAGTCTATCATGTGGGCTTAGCCAGAGCTCCCCTGGCCACAAGACCACCCTGCACTCTAGGCCCAGATTTATCCCTCTAGTCCAGTTACTCCCTTTTTGCACCACACGGTGGACTGACTTACTTCTCCATCTCTCCCCCTGTCCTTCCAGCCCCAAAATGCTGCTCCAGAACTAGGTCAGAGACCACCTCCTGGTAGGACACAGGCACCTGGGGAATCAACATCTTTCTAAGCAGTGGAGGACACACCAAAAACAACCTTCAGAGTGCTCCCTTATGCAAGGCTGCCTTCACCAGAGATACTAATTGAAGCACAGATACTAACTGAAGTACAGTTTCCTGTACTAAAAAGTCACAAGGTGTTTAAGCAAAATGAAACAACAAAACCCCCAAGCTTCACTACTGAACCACAGAGCATTCACTGTGCAGAGACCACGAGCACCCCTGGACTTTCCAGCTGCAGAAACATGTCCCCTGAACCCCTCTGTGCCTCCTGCCCACAGCAGTCCCCACTTTGCCAGCTCACAGGGTGTCCTGAGTGGCACAGCCAGGACTGGCGGCTGAAGCCAAGGGCACTAGTGCACATTTCAGCTTTCCCACAACCCCCAACACTCAATGGATCAAGAACAGGTGAAAGGCCTGCCAGGGGAAGCTGAAGTAAATGCAATTCAAGACAGCACCTTGATCCAGTCTCCTCTCAACGTGACTCTTTGCAGCCTTAACTTTCAGGTAAGAAAGGGAAGGGTGACATCCATGATATTTACACTGCTCTTCCTTAAGCCTCATCTCACCAAACACTTTTGTGATAGCAACAAATTAACTTTTACAGTACAGAGGTGTTGAAAAAACTGCCAAAGACAGATTCAGGTGAGAACTTAGAATCAAAGCTTCAGAAAAACAACCGCTCACAGTAATTTAGGTCAGCCTTGTGATTTCTGTAGCCAGCACTCTCCCAGGCCCACCAGGGACTTCCCAACAAGGCCAAAGCACCACACAATCTTATCTCACACACAGAGGGACAATGCATTAGGTTATCTTCATATTACCATAATCTACTTTAAACAGCATGACTTCTATAGCACTGCAAACTGATACTGAATATTTGAGAGGTGTTTCCCACCTGGCTGGCTGGTGAAATTGCAAAGCAGGGAAACACTGAGATGTGTGCACACTGCTCATATTTATGGCATTTCTTCACTCTTGAGTTGTTTGCATAAATAACAACCCCTAACAATAATGGGCTTTTCAAAGAGTAAAGAGTCATAGCCTAAAGACACAGAATAAACCTCCACTTCAAATGCATCATAAAGCCAAGGCAATCTCACTGAAAACTTCTGTGCTCGTAAGTGTAGTAAAAACTTTGGCTGCTGCTTTAGAAGGAAACCACCCATGTATAGGTCTGAATTTATTTTTTTTTTTAAATAGTCCATCTGTATTAGTTAAGATGCAGACACTACCTAAAACCCGAACAAAGCTGCCCTTCTACCGTGAGCCTCTCCAAAAGGTTGTGTCCACCTCAAGAATAAAACGTCAGAAGACAGATGAGCACACTGTCCTAGAAAGATTTCAGTAGCGGAATTTCTCACCTCTGGCAGGGCAAGGGTAAGGGCAGCACATGAGGCATTCAGCTAATTATAACCCAACATCTACCTACCAGGAACATCATAGAGAATGCTACCTACCCCAGTTTACACTGAACTGGAACAAGATTTTTCTTTACAAGCACCGGAGAGGTTTGCCTAATGTAAGTTTGCTTTTTAACTCTTAGTTCTTAATTCCAAGTTTAGAGGTACCTCTCATCTGCAGAAGTATGCCCTCAAAATACGGTAAAGACTGTGGTCTCCGGCCACACTATTGTCCCAATTTATCTATATGCAAAAGGTAATGACACATACAATCAATTCTCTAGTGTGATGGCCAAGATTATTTATTCCAGTAGAAAGATACTTTAAGCACCAGCAGTCAGAGTCTGAACACTGAAGGTGAAATCTCAGCCCTGACAGAGCCAGTCCCCCAGTGACTGATGGGGCCAGCTCTCCTCTGCAGCACAAAGGGAACACACTTTATTTTTAAATGTTAAGTAACACATGTGAAACATCCAATGTTTTTAAAACTACACATTTCCCTATTACAGCCATGACCTAACACTTATTCAGTGGAGATCTCTGGTGGAAATAAGTGCCAGGCACATGTTTTGTTGGTCAGCTGGATTTGTTGACCATTACATCAAGTTTTACTTTCAAATACACTTGTGCAGTGTAATCCAATTAGGGTTTAAAGCAACACTGACACTGTTAAATTATGTAATTAATGACAGTAATAATTAATGTATTTGTATAGATTATGACCAGGTCAGGTATTTCAAAGGCAGCTGATCACAGTATTTACATTAATATAGGACAACATAAAGCAAGTAATTATTCATATTGTAAGCATCTCAGTCCCTCTGTAGTTGTTTCAACTTTGCTGATATGTGACTCTAATGTGGTAAGAGATCTGAAACTATTCTTAGACCATGGCAGAAAGCATGAAGTGGTTTGTTGGCAGGTTTTACCCTCCCCACTATAATGAGAGCAAGTCACTTCGTTTATTTCCCTGTCAGATGAGCAGAGAGAAGACTGAAAGCCAGAGCATAAATAAGCTCCACAGACTGTAAAAAAGAACAGAGAAGGAACCAGTTTTTGTGGAGGAATCAGCTGGTTCCTCCCCATCTCCTTTGCAGTAGTCCAGCCATGAGTTTACAGCATATACTGGGAATTAAAAAAAAAAAAAAAAAAAAAAAGCCAAATCATATTTTTCACCTCTGCTTTTGAATACCTTTGCTTCCTCAAACTCAAACACAGAAACCTTTACAAACTAAACACAAGACTTAAGCAGGTTCACAAGAATCCCACTGCTGGATCTCGAAGGAAGAGGAAGAAAGCAGGATAGAGATAATGCCATAGGTAGACCCTGGTAAGGGAGACAAAGGCAACTCCTCTTGTGTTAAAAGCTGTCAAGATGTGCTAGCACAGATGCTTCAATTTTTAATTTTTGTTTCCTTTATAAAGGTAATTTAACTTATTAAAAAAAAACCCAAAAAAACTGAACTTCAAGCCTAAATGTCTCAGTCAGGGAAAAAGAGTACTTTTCATCTGAATGCAAATGAAGCTCCCATTTTCAATTTTTAGGTTCCAGTAGCCAACTCAAGCACACATGTCCCCAAGACTCCAGACCACTTGGCTATGAGCTGAGGTGCTCAGGGAAGGCAGAGAAGCCTCAGTGTTGGGTTTGCAGGAGGGAAAGGGGTACAACCCTACAAAGGAGTGCCAGGGCTGCTGACCCAGCCCAGGGTCACAGCACCACGCTCTCTCCCTCTCCAAATTCAGCTTTGACACTAGCCTCAAGCAGAAGGGACACCGGGCTCGTATCACCAGTTTTGCTCCCTCTCCCTTCCAACGCTAAGGAAAACAATATAAATTTAAAAAAAAAATGAAGCATCCACAAAAAATGAGGCCTTTAGATTTCAGCAAACATGGAATATCATGGCCTAGGGGCATTGGGGGAAATGTGACTTCTTCCTATTTTTTTATAAACAGACTGAGCAGCAGCTTCAGCTCTGACAGCTCAGGCTGCTACAGCCCATGTAGCAGGACTGTGAAATACAGGATTCTTAATGGTTTATTTTTTGTAAAAACAGAGGATTTATGCCTGTCTCAAGTGTTGCCGTGCCTTGTGGCAAAAGAAAAGAGCAGATCTTTCTTCTTAAGAGCTTAAATCAAAATTATGCATATGTTATGTTTAGGACCAAGAAAATGTTAAAGGAAGCAGCAAGGAGAGACACAGATAGAAAGGGAGGAACAGAGGTCTTAAAATCCTCCATGCCACAGCGCACACGAAACCCTCTCTTGTCACAGCGCTAGTTTATATATTGGTCTGCTACATTAAAAATAAACCAGACCACCTCTTTTTTAACTCGTGCCTAATAAGGTGCGCCATACATACATTTATCTATAGATCACGGCCCGGCCTTGTAAAACAGCACAGGGTTTCTGTGCCGCTTAAAAAGCCCGGGGCACCTCAGACCCGCAGGCCCGCGGGGCCAGGCGCTGTCAGGCAGGGCTGTGACCCAGGCCCGGCCCCGGCCATGGGGCTGAGCCCCTGTGCCAGCGAGCCGGGGAGCGGCAGCGGGGCCGCGGCCGACAGGCAGCACCAAACATGGAGAAGGTGGCACCGGATCAGGGGGACGGCAGCTTGGACGGCCCGGCTAGCAACCAGTGTTTGCAAACACAACACGGGGGAATCAGATGGGCCGGCAATAAATTAGGGCCGGGCAGCGGAGTGCGAGAGGAATCACTCGAAGTAACAAACGCAGGCTAAGAGGGCTCCCCGGCCACCCCCCAGTTTCGTTTTAGCGCCCGAACCCAGGGACGGGGATGCGCCAGCTCCGCGGCTGCTGAAGCACGATGGAAAAAACGCTATCTGTCAAGTGAAACTAAATAATGAGTGCTCCCAGCGCCACTCCCCCCGCTCGGAAACTTAGCCACAGCCTTCCTAAACGCTGCTTTATCCCATGCTCAACTCCATCCCAACTCCATCCAGCTGGAGCCCCGCTTCAAAGAACAGGAGGTGAGTTACGGTGGTGGGGGAGCTCCTCACTACAGGCTCCCCGAGGTGAGGTCCGCTCCAGCCCAGCTCCTCACTATATCCAAAAAGCAAAGGATTTGGGCTTTCTGTCTTCTGGCACACTTCCAGATCTGCTGACAGGCCAGTTTGGGGAGGGGATTTCTCCCAAGCAGGGCTTTCAGGTAACATTTCTCAGTGCCTGAAAAATGGCCAAGGACTCCCAGGAGCGCCTGGTTAAACCCCGGGCAGCACACAGAGCTGGAAGGTGGGAGAAGGGGCTGCCACAACCTGCCCACGGGGCCCAACAGCTCAGCGCTGCCCAGTTACTGCTCTGCAGCTTCATCCCAAACAGGATCTCACTCCAGGTACGGGAAAAGTACCAGTGTGAGGTACATAGAAGCTAAGGTGTTTTCAGAGGAGCACAGAGAACACTTTCAGCACACCACTTTTCTAAGGATAGGAAGGCTACAACCACTACTATATCCAGCTGCAAAGGCTGTACTACAGCAGGATTATCACCAGAAAGGCAGGACTCCAGTGGCAGCCTTGCTCTGCCATGCACCCCATCTCCCTCTTCCACAGATGAAGGGCATCATCGTGACCCCAGAGACTCAATGAAACCATACTGGGATCCTGCAGCAAGTATCAGAACAAGTCCAGCATGACCACACTCTTGCCAGGAGCAAGGAGACAGTTCAGCAATTTTAAGCTTCCACAAAATACACCCACAGAGAAATGTCTCACAGGACCCTTAGGTCCTACAAAGACGTGAAACTCAGCTGAGGAAAATGGATAAAGTACCAGCCCATTCCATTCTCCTGTGACACTGTGCAGATTGGAAGTAGCAAGCTGCACAGAAAAAATAAGCTAATTAAATACATACAGTATGAGCTAAGCAGCAAATCCTTCCTTAGTTTCCCACTGCCATAGCCAGACTCTGCCAACCATGCCTCTGAATGGCATAAACACCCAGGGGAGAGGAAATTTAATCTAGAGGGCAGCATTGTTATAAATAGGATCTTGAGAATAAAGTGAAGAAAGGGAAGTGTCCTTGGATGATGCCTTAATTGGTGGGGCTCACCTCCACCAAAGCGTCAAGAGATAAAACAAATTCCATATTAAAACAGGGGCCTTTACAGGAAAGCCATATACATACATAAGCACTTATACACAGAAACACAATACTTTCAGATCACTTTTTAAACAAATAATCTCCCTCTGTCCATTATTCTGACCCCATATCACCAAAACAAGACTTGATTGCTCATCAAGTTTTGCTGACTGGTCCATGACACAGCGCCTCAGACCAAATGACCTCCCTCATCTTTCCTTCCCCCTCCTTCTGTTCTCCCACTGTCCATCTCTAGCACCTATGAGTGCAGTTTTACATCGACTAAAATAAGGCTGCTAAGTAAAGGTCAGTCTGACAAGGTAAAAGAGAAGTATCCCCTCCTAGATCCCCGCTCCCTGGGCTATAAATACCCAGAATAAGGGCTGGGGGAAATTCTTTGTCTGCACAGACAGACACCAGGAAGCACATTTCCTCCTCCTTCCACTTCTCACCCCTCCTGCTACTCAAGGACAACATTCAGAGGAAAGCAAGCATCTCCCCTGCCACCAGCTCCATGACTTGTCCATGGAAGGCAGTTGCTTTGCCACTGGTGACTTGAGGCACACAGGCCTTCTCAGAGATAGGCAGATGCTTTCAAGGTCCAGCCACCAGCGAGGTTGATGGCCGAGAGCACACACTGCAAAGCAAACCAACACACTTTGCCTGGGCAACGAGGAGGATTACCTTTTAGGACTAGGGGCTCCTTGCCTTCTCGCTTGAGTGACTCCAGCACTATGTGGAGTGGCTGGGAAGGCATCACTCTGCTTGGCTCATTGGTATTCTCATCATAAACTACGATTTCTTTGGAAAAGATTCTCTTGAAGGAGTCCTTGCCTTCCCGGCAGGAGATCAAGTCCAAGACAGTGATCTTGCCCTGCTGGAGCCTTCTCCGGCTGATCTTGTCAGAACAGTTAATGTGGACAGCCCCTTGAATGTGGCTCTTATTATACTCCATGAAGGGCCTGCAGTCAATGATGACAGGCCCTTGGTTCTGTTGGTGGCTCTTGCTACATTTGGTCATCTTCTTGGCCAGATCATTGGGGTAGATGATTTTGATGCTGGCGAGTTGCTTGGCGCTGCCCGAGACGGGGCTCCCCACTCCGCCCAGCGGGCTCAGGCTGCCGGCGCTCTCATTGCTGTTGACCATTTGGTTGGCAGGGCAGGCGGGGGAGGCTCCGGCGTGGGTGCTGCTGGTGCTCGCTTGAGTTTGGGCCTGAGTGTCCTTGTCGTACGTTGCCACAGTGCAGCAACTGGCACTGCTGCATCCACAACTCAGGGAGCGTGCAGAGCCGTTGGATGAGGGCATATACGTGAGATTAGCAGTCTTTAGGGACACGACAGCTGCACCAAGCAGACTGGAGTGGCTCTCAGCAGCAGAAGAGGCAGATTCAAGGAAGCTAGAGTCTAAACACAGGTTGAGATCCTGAGGTCTCACTGGCCTCGAAAGTGCCACTACTACCCTGTCGTCTAAAGGAGATGGAGGCATGAGGAGGCTGAGCACTAGCAAGTTAAGAAGAACTCAAGATCACCCTGAAAAAGAAAAAGCAGGAGGGAAAGAAGAAAAAAAGGTGATGAAAACAGATCATGAAATCACACAAACCTACAGATTGAAAAACTTATTTTGCCAATACCCGTTATCCCTAAGCTAACAACCCCTTCTGACAGTTACCAGCTCACAGTAGCTGCTACAAAGCCTTTCCAGCATTGCAGAGAACACTTCAGCTATCTGCATCTGCACCCATGGCACCCAGAATCCACACGAGCAGCCTGGACTGTGCAGTGACACCCAGGAAGAGGCATTTAGATACATGCAGATGGTGCTGAGCTATTCCAAAACCCCAGGCTGCAAGGCTCACCACTGATAATGACAGAGGCACATTCCCTCATCCCGTTGCTCACTGAAAAGGAAGCAACTACTGGGCTGAGTCTGCTACAGGGAGGAACACGTAAGAGCTGAATGTGTCAGGGGTGATATGCAACTTTTCCAGCATTCTGGAATAAAATTAGCCTGCAAATAAATTTTCTGAGACAGTTACAAACTTGAACACGTAAGGCTAAACAAAAAATACCCAGAAGAAAACAGAAAAATTAGCTTCTGGAGATCCTTATAAGCGTGCACCTTGCACTTCCCTCCCCCTGGTTAGAGGTGAATCCAGTCCCAGTTAAGCCCCTAACTCCAGGCTCGGGGAGGCTGCTGTTCTCCAGCAGTCCGTGAGGCAAATTCCCCATCACATTTCACAGCTTCTACAAAAAGTGGTCCCCTCCGCCCCAGACAAGGTCACACTGCCTGCCCAACTTTTGCCTTCCCGTTTGCTAAGACGCAGCACGCAGGATTTGAATCCCCCCGTTTCTACTCGGCAGACAAGACAAGAACAAAATACCCAAAGCCAGCCCTGACAGTGGGTGCCCTTCACCAGCAACTTCGGGAGCAGCCACAGCTCTCTCTGAAAATCCCATCCCAGCACCAACTTCACCAACTCCAGCAAGCCCCCGGAGCGGGGCGAGCACTCGCAGCTCCCGTTTGCCGCCCAGCTGGCTCTGCTAGGAGCCGGGCCGGCGAGGAAGTGGCACGGAGATGTCCATCCCGAGAAGGGGGGTGCCCGGGGGGCACTGCCACCACCGCGGCTGGACAGAGCGAGCCCTCGGGCACCGCCGGAGCGCAGAAAGGTGCCGCGACCCGCCCGCCCGGGGCACGGCGGAGGTGCCGCGGCCGGGCAGAGCGGGGACAGCGGCGGCTCGTTCGGGAGGCTTTCTCAGCCCTTTCTTTTCCCAGCCTTTCCCTCGCCCTATTTTAGGATAAGAACTAGGATAAGGGCGCCCTGAGCGCCTTCGCCTGACGCAGTTAAATTTTTTTAAATAAACGAGGGAGACGACTCAGCTCCCCCAGCGAGGGGAAACAACGAAAGAGCCCACGAAAAGCGGGAAGCTGAAGTTTTGCCCCGGATCGCAAGGAGCCGGGG